TCATTTTGCAAAACTTTCAGTTCTTCCATATGCCATCAGTTTCTACCTCGTGATGCAAATGTCTGTTGAATAAGTTATGCTATAAATATTTTTCTTAGAGTGTTTTTACTAATATTCCTTAGTTTCTCTAATGATAGATTGAAAAAGATAACAATATCCTTTTTATCTGGTTAAGATAGACTAAAGAGCATAGCACAAATGTCATTGACCATTACATCTGATTCTATTTGGTGTGTGGCTCTTTTTCCAGAACAGAACTTAGCACCATTCCTGCCACATACCTGACAAAACTGTGGTTGCTGTAACAGCGAGATTAAACAGCAGGCTCTAGGAAATGAACATATATCTTTATTTTTCCTTAAGTAGAGGTCCCGTGCACATGTTCTTACCCTAGTTTCATTGGTTGGTGCCCAAGATTTTGATGTGAATATATCATTGTCCATGATATTGCTGAATATGAGTGTGGAAATAATACCCATAGTTAGAACACTCAGACCTCATACTTTAGAGAACTCAAGTAATCTGGAGTTTTCTCACTTGTAAAGTGGAGATAGAAATATTTGGGGGGTGTCTCTTGGTTGTAAACCTCAAAAAGAAAAAGAAATATTCCAGGATTGCGAATGGGCTTTGAGAACTAGAAGACTTCACTAACATAATTATATAGCAGGCTCTCCTAAATTCCCTCTCCTGCAAACTATATATAGATTTGAGGCCAAATGGGGTTTCAGTCTCACTTGTGCTAGGAAAAAAAAATCAGACAGTGTTCTGATATATTTTTGCATGATAACTAACACCAGTGAGGGTAATTACAACAGTGGGAAAATCCTTGTAATTTCTTCAAGGAAAGTTTACTCCCCTGGAAGTAACCATCACCAGTAAGCAATAGGAAGCTTTATAGTGAACTTTACTAGTGGCTCTTATTTGCAAATACACATTTTCATCTTAATCAATAGCTAAGGTTGAATGAGATTTAATTAAAGGCTATCTTACAGGGAAAACCCAATTATAACTTTTTTGTGGCTTCTTTGTGCCTTTTTAAAACACTCTTCTTTTTACCTTCCTATTCTTCTACAAGCATATGCTTAGTTTTGTTCGTTGATGCTATTTGTATTAAGCATTTATGTCAGCAATCTGTAAATTCTCACCAGAATTTGAGCTTGATGATATAGTTTCTATATTATATATAAGGAGACATGTTCTGAGAAATTCACGGTCACATAACTAATATGTGAAAAACTGGATCTTATGGAACTGAACAATGAATGTGTAAGGGTGAAAGCTGCTGCATGAAACCCGAGCCTTGAATGGAGAGTCTCAGAAACCAGATAATTCTGAGGCAGTGGTCATGATACTGACCTTTTTGATGTCTGAACAAATAAGTATAGCAATATTCCCGAGTTTGTGGTGATTAGTATTTCATTTCTGTAGCATATTAGAATGAGTTTTTTAGTAGAAAACAAGTGAAAAATTAGAAGATCTTGTCTAAAAAAATAAGATCTTAATGAAACCCATAACAAAATTGACTTTGGAGAAGAAAGCACGGAAACAGGATTTCAATGGCCAGAGTAAAAGCCTAACAATAGGGAACATTATGTACAAAGTAGAGCTATGAAGGATATATTCTCTGGCATCTGGAATGCAGGAACATGTTTGTGTGACTGTGTTGGCAGGGATGTGTCTCTGTGTATAGGTAAATTTATTTTTTAATTTTTTTAATATTTGTTATTTTTAATTTTATTTTTATATTTCCCATAGAGTTGCAACCCCCTTATTTTGACCCCAATCCCTCCTTTCCCTGCCACCCCCCCCATAGTGTGTCTCTGGTTCATAGTTGTTTGTTGATTTTAATTTTTTCTTTCTTACAGTTATTCTTTTTCCTAGGCCCTTATTTAGGTTTTCTAGATTCCTGCTATGAGTGAGACCATCTGGTATTTTTCTTTTTCTTTCTGGCTTATTTCACTGAGCATGATCCCTTCCAGCTTCATCCATGTTGCTGTAAGTGGTGCTGGGAAAACTGGGTTGCTACATGCAAAAGAATAAAATTTGACTACTACCTCACACCGTGCACAAAAACCGACTCAAAATGGATTAAAGAACTAGACGTAAGACATGTGTAGGTATATGTAGATGAGCCCCGAGAATTAACAAGCATGTGAAGTGGACAATATTTGTACTTAGAAAAATATGCTCATGGAGGAGAGAGACTAGTTTCGAAACCATTGCAGAAATAAGATTTAGTGGTGATACGAGCTTACTGTTATGGTGAGAAATTGTGTACTTTGGCTTAAAAAATACATATCAAATGCTTGGGTCTTCACACCCACATTGCTTACAACTTTAATTTGAAATGGAAAATGTATACTTAATAGATATTCCTTCTTATAACGACGAAATATATGCATATGCTTCCATTCCAACGTGATTTGTTCATTAATGGAAGCAGAAATGTATTCTAAATTTGTGCTATAGATCTTTCTAGCTACATAATTTCCTGTCCCAGATAGTTTTAGCAGTTATTTAAAAAATGTAGAGGTTGCTTGATTTCTTATTTTAAATTTATGATTGAAATTTAAATTGCTACTCATGAAATGTAAGGATTCATTTCAGTTGAATAGATATGTGAGGATATTTAATGTTACTATGTAGTTATGCTCACACAGATCTATTTTGCATACTAGATTTGACAGAGAATCTGTACCTGTTATATGATGTGGAAATATTTCATTGTGGTGATTTTTTAATGAATATTAGGAAATTTTAAAAGTATATTCAATTGGCAGTTATAATACAATAGCATAACTCATGTTTTACCTATAATTTGAGTATGTAATTTTCAGTTTGGTTTGGGGGCTTGATGGGATCCTGAAAGGGGGAATAATTTAATTATAGAAGAGAGTTAATATTATTTTGACTATAGATTTCAAGTTTTGGTTAACAATTATCATAATTCAGTATGATTTTTATAAGTACAAATGAGTCTCATTTTACCCAGCACAATTATTTTGAGATTCCTCTCATGTTATACATCACATAAGTAGGTTATTATTGTTTTAACAGTGATTCAGCTTTTATTTATGGTTCTGTTTTCACCAGTAATTGATAAACCAAGGTAATATTTTTAATACTACAAACACGTGAGAAGAGTACAGGTGACTGTTGGTCTCATAGTTGATAAAATATATACCATATTGACAAACCCAAAACAGAATGTCACTGAGAAATGTTTATAAATATTAGGTGTTAAATTTATGCATAATATCGAATCAAAGTTTGTACATCTAGTGGGACGTGCATCATAAAGTGGGTGTCATGTATAAGATGAGAGAAATAGTAAAGTAAGTAGTAAATGAAAGATTGTTTATTTAACTTTCCGTGACTGCCCCGCCTCTGGCTCCTCCTCATCATCATCTTTGAGTGCATAGAGTCTTATTGATCTTTCCATAGGAGTCTTCACAGAGTCATATGTCCATCCCTTCCTGGCAAACAACCTCTCAATCATGGATGGCATTTCATAGCCTTTGCTTAGAACGTAATCTTTAAAGGCTAATGTTCCATAAAGTTCTTCAAGAATATCTGGTGTAGGAGGCTTCCCAAAGGAGCTTTCGATGTTGGGGTCAATCAAAGGTTCATTATTTATTAACTTTTTCCACAATTTGGGCTTCAGGTACCATGCTCCATACCTCATCTTCACACGGTTGGGTTTATAAGGATCCTCTCTTTCCTGGAGTTTTCTCTCCCAGTTCGTTTCTTCTATGGAGAAATTTACCTGCTCCTCTTCATCTAGCTCCTTGCAATACTTCAGCTCCAAAGGAACCTGCGTTACTTTCTTAATGCGGGACGTTTTATGAGTATGTTTGCATTCAGAACTTCTGTCAAAAAGTTGCATGAAGAAGTTTTCATCAATGCCTAAGTCTCCAAAAGTGGCAACCCATTTGCAGAAGTCACGAACTCTTTCTGGAACTTTGCTACGAGGAACACGTTTGCGTGAGCCCTTTTTTCTTGGCTTTTTTCCTTCACGAACCAAACTCTCAGGACATGTCCCAGGAGTCTTCTTGGGAGGTTCCAGGTGGAATTTTTCAGGATAAGTTTTAAAAACCTTTTGGGGGGGCTTTATCCTTTTTCTGGTGCCCTCACAGTAGGCCCATGTGTCTTCCAGCCTCCTGTCAGGATCGACCACTTGCAGCACCTTTAGTAAGAGCTCTGCAGGTACATCTTCGTCCACATCCAGGGACATAGCCAAGCGATGCTGGTTCAGGTGGGCTTCGACGTCCTCCATGAATTTCTTCCGCTCAAACTGGGCTGGCGAGAGCTTGGAAAACAGGCCTGTATCCTTGTATAGCACTTTGTGACTCTTTGGGGGTGGAGGTAGGGGCACTCTTTGAGGAATCAAGGGGAGGAAGCTCTTCTTAGGGCCACTGGTGATCACATCTTCACAAGGTGGACAACCCTTCCTGAAGTCGTCCAGTCCCTCTTTCACAAATCTCCACTGTCGACAGTCCAGGGAGGTGGGAAATTTGAGTACCTTGTGTTTTGCCAAACACTTGGAAGGTAGTTTATCTTTGTACCAGGGCTTGCAGTGCATGCCCAGAGGCATCGGTTGTTGTGACCCTGACCCTAACAGCCTTTTCTTATCTGCCATGGTGTGCCTGGCTCCCAGGCCACCCCCACCTTCAGGGGTTTGTTTTTTCTCAGCCTGTTCTTGTTGCTAGGAAACCATATAACAATAGGTTGCTGGATTCTTCTACAAGGAGGGGCGGGGCAGAGACTGGGGTGGGGGTGGGAGTGGGGGGAACAAAGGTGATGATGCCCGCTACACAGCCTGCCTTCTCCTGGGATGACCAGGGGAAGGTTCATTTCTTTCTGTTTTGGAGATGTATTTCATTGTACGGAATATATCACGATTTATTCATTCAAAGTTTTGTGCACATTTGCCTGTTTCCATTTTGAAGGAATTATATCAAGCGGACACAAATATTTTTGTTCATGTATTTGTTGAACGGTGAGATCATATAGGTGTGTAACCTTTTTAAAAACCTTAATTTCCCGAAGTGGTGTGCCATTGAATACATGTTTCTTTTGGTAGTGAATGAGAATTGCAGTTCCTCTACATACTCCCCACCACTTGATATGGTTCCTTATTTTAAGTTTAGTATTCTATTAAATATGTAGTGAAATCTCCTTGTCCTTGAAATTTGTATTTCTCTAATGACTACTGGTGTTGAATATCTGTCATGTGCTTGTCATTTACATTTCTCCTTTGGTAGAGTGGCTTCAGAATTTTTGCACATTACAAATTGTGTGACTTGATAACTCATTGAGTTTTGAAAATTCCTTGTGTGTTGTGAATCTAAGTTCTTTACCAGATACATAATTTGCATTTTTTCTCCATCTATGGCTTGTCCTTTCATTGTGTTAATAGTGTCTTTCAAAGAACAGACATTTTTATTTATTTTTATAATAAATTTTATTTTTATATTCCCCATACAATTGCAACCCCCTTATTTTGACCCCAATCCATCCCCTCCCGCTCCCTACCCCCATAGAGTGTCTCTGGTTCATAGTTTTTTGTTGATTTTGATTTTCACTTTCTTATAGTTATTCATTTTCCTGGTCCCTTATTTAAGTTTTCTAGATTCCTGCTATGAGTGAGACCATCCGGTATTTTTCTTTTTCTTTTTGGCTTATTTCGCTGAGCATGATCCCTTCCAGCGTCATCCATATTGCTGCAAATTGCATGTGTTTATCTTTTTTGAACACTGAGTAATATTCCATGGTATATATGTACCACATCCTCTGGATCCAGTCATCTATTTTTGGGCATTTGGGTTGCTCTCAAAGCTTAGCTATTGTAAATAGTGCTGCTATAAACATAGGGGTGCAGGTGTTCTTTGGAATTGATGTTTCTGTGTCCTTTGGGTAAATACCTAGGAGTGGAATTGCTGGATCATATGGAAGCTCTATGTTTAGTAGGTCCAGAAATCTCCACACAGCTCTCCATAGTGGTTGGACCAGTTTGCACTCCCACCAACGGTGCAGAAGAAGTGCAACAGGGTGGTCCCCAGGAAAGGGGGAGGTTCCCTGCCCCACCCAAGGGAGGGTGGAGCTGAGCAGGAAGAGGAGACCCTGCAGAAGAGACTGAGGAAGGAAGCAGGATCGAGCCTAGAGACACGTGAAGAAACTGCGCTTGTCTTTTGGTCGTGGACTGGGTGACACAGATGTGCGTGAGACCCGTGGGAGGTGACCATGGCAGCTTTTATCTTGGTGTTGATTTTGCTCTTTTCCATCCGGGCTTGTCTGGTAGTTTCTGACCCTTTTCTGTGGGTCCCCACTGGAAGATGCTTTAGACTTGTGGCAGGCTTTGGGGCCTTGCTCTGGGCCGATCCCATATGGATGGACTTTTACCCACGAGGGGACGGGTAACTTTGGATGCTTCATTTAGAAACTAGACTCTTTGCCTTACCTGTATTGTTTCCTAGTTTTATTAAAGTTCCTTCCCATTAAAGTCTCATATGTTTTGTGTTGATGCAGCGGATGGCAGAACCCATTTAGAATAGGCAGTTTTGCGGGGTTTGGGCTGCCCCTCTCCCTGTCCTATAACAGATTAACAGACATTTTTAAATTTGATGAAGTTCAATTTATCAGTTTGTTCTTTAATGGATAATGCCTTCTGTGTTGTAACAGAAAATGTTGCCTTTCTAAAAGTCACAAAGGTTTTTTTTCTTTCATTTCAGTCTGTCATTTTAATATTTGTAAGTGGTGCAAAATATGGAACAAGTTTTTATTGTATTTTTTTTGTCTATGAATATCCAGTTGCCATTGGATATTTTTGTGAGATGAACTCCCCCCCTAAATTGTCTTTGTACATTTGTAGAAAACCAATTATCCATGTTTCTAGGAATTCATAACTTTTCTGTTTCACTGATTTTTTTTCTGTCTTTATATCAATTCTACTCTGTGTTGATTACTTTGACTTTATAATAGGTCTGGAAATTAGGTTGCGTTAATCCTTTGACTCCATTTTTCTTTTATAAAGTTGTTTTGGCTCTTCTAGGTGCTTTGAATTTAATATGTGTTTTAAAATTGCTTTGTCCACGTCTTTGTAATTGTCTATTGGGTTTTGATTAGTATTATGTTGAACCTGTAGATCAATTTAGAGACTATTAACATTTTAACATTATTGAATTTTCTGATCCATGATAAAGGTATATCTTTTCATTTATGTACGTATTTTTTTGAGTATGTGCTGAGATAAATTTATCTCAGCAGTATCCTGTCATTTTCTGAATGTCGGTTCATATATTTTCTCTCCACGTTTTCAAATAATATGTCATATTTTAATACTATTTTAAGTATTAAGGTAATACTATTTAATACTAAGTAGTATTAAACAATACTACTACTAATAATACTAATAATACTAAATACTATTTAATACTAAATTTTAATACTAAAATAATGCTATTTTCATTGTAGTTGCAATTGTTTAGTGTTTATGTATAGAAATGTAATTGATTTATGTCAATTGATTTTGTAACATCTAATGTTGGTAAGCTTGCTTGTTACTTTTAGGAGCATTTTTAAAATAATTAAATTTGTTTATATATTTCCTTACGTTTTTGTTTATTTTTGTACAATATTTGATCTCTTCCTTTAGGTATAGTCCCTGTAGTTCTCCTACCACCATAGCACCCATGAACCGACACCTTAGTCCCTTGTGTTCTGCCCTCCCCTGCTTTGACCCCTCTCCCTCCCTCTCCCCTGCTGTGTGCCACAGACCTTTGGTCAGCTTGCAATTTTTGGCTTTTTCCTGACCTTTTTTTCTGTTTCCCTGTTTTCCACCTGTAAGTGAAACCACCTATACTTTTTATTTCTGACTTATTTTGCTTAGTATAATCCCTTCCAGCTCCATCCAAGTTTCTGCAAATGGCACGAGTTTATATTTTTTGATCACTAAGTAGTATTCCATTGTGTCTATATACCACATCTTCATGATCCAGTCATCTCTTTTTAGGCCATTTAGGTTGTTTCCATATCTTCACTATTGTAAATAGTGCTACAACAAAGGTTTTAATAAGGGGGGTATTTGAAGGTTCCATTGAATTATTTTACACAGATGATAATGTTATCTGTGACTAAAGACAGTTTTAATTCTTTTCCAATATTAATATCTTCTTTTATTGGACTTGTTACCCTAACTGGAATCTATTTCTAATGTTGAATAGAAGTGACAGAGATTGCAAATATTTGCTTTGTTTCTGAACTTAGGGGGAAGGTCTTTAAGTATGATGTTGATTGTAGTTTTTCGGTACATGCTATTTTTCAGTTTGATGAATGTCTCCTTTATTTCTAGTGTTTTAAGAATTTGTAACCTCACTTGTGAATATGTGATATCTTCTGTATTTGTTGTTGTGTTAGGTTTGTTAAAATACTTCAAAAAGATTTGTGTATCAATTTTGATGAAGGATACCTAGTAACTATTTTCCTTTAATGTAATTGTTTGATTTTGCTAGGTTAATGCTGGATATGTTACAGGACAGGGAGAGGGACACCCCAGACCCTCCAAACCTGTCTGGTCTAAATAGGTTTCACTATTTGCCTCATCAAGACAAAACATATAATACCTTTTATGGAAAGGAACTTTAATACAATTAGTGCACAACAAAGAAAAGGGGAAGAATAAAGTTTCCAAATCAAGCACCCAAAGTTACCTACCCCTTCGTGAGTAAATGCCCAGCCAATCAAGGTTGACCCAAAACAGGGCCAGTGAGGCCTAAAAGCCTGCCACAAGTCTAAGGCATGTTCCAGCGGGGACCCATAGAAAAGGGTCAGAAACAACCAGACAAATCTGGGAGAAAAAGAGCAAAATCAAAATTAAGGTAAAAGCTGTCATTGTTGACTTCAGCATGGGTCTCTCACCCACATCTGTTTCAACCAGTCCAAACCTGAGAAGCAAGCATAGCTTCTTCACATGACTCTCTGCTCCATGTGCCTCCTCCAGGTCTCCTGGCTCTCCATCCTCCTTCCTTCTCCAGTCTCCTCTCCAGCTTCTTCTCCCTGCTCAGCTACACCCTTCCTTGCATGGGGCAGGGAATGCGGAACCTCCTACTTTCCGGGGGAACACCCTGTTACAACTTCATGGGATGATTTGGAGAGTATTCCATTCTTTTCATTTTCTAGAAGCATATGTGCATGGTAGGTATTGATTTTTCCTTAAATGCTTTGCATATCTTACCAGTGAAACTCTCTGGGTCTGGAGTTTGTTTGTTTGGTTTTTTTTATTTAAAAGAATATCTGTTTCTTCTATGCTGTCAAAGTTACTATGATAAAGTATTTATACTATTTCCATATTACCTATAAGAATCTGTAGAGCTAGCATCTCTTTCATTACTGATTTTAGTAATCTTGTTTTTCTCTTTTTTTTTCCCTAATAAGATGGCTCAAGGTTAATATATTTTATTCATCTTCTTTAAGAATCAACTTTGTTTTCATTGATTTATCTCTTTTTTCCCCTATTTTCTATATGATGAAATTTCTTCCCAATTTTGTTTAGTGTTCACACCTATTTTACTCTTATATATAGTATAAATCCCATATACTTAAAATATTTTTGCTTAAATATTGTGCCACTTTAATTTTAATATATAAAATAACTCAGATACTTACCTATGTAGTTACCAATTTCACTA